TTCTCTCTACTGAACTACAATCAGATTTCAGCATTCAATCTTTCTTCTTCTCAAATAATACCAATCACATTTCCATTCCATAATTCACTTCACAATATTCAAAAACTCTCAATCCTCTTATTCAAAGAAAATAACAAACAAAAGAAAAGACGTAGCACCAAGCTTACCCTGGCTCACAACTATCACAGCGATGGCCCTTGGCTCATGACTATCACAGTCTGGCCCTAATTAACTTCTACGACTTCTATATACTTTTTCCTGATTCTCCAGATTCTAACCGTAATTCTGTAATTAACCGCTTTTAATAACTAAATCACTCATCCGTCCTCCTAAATTTTCTATTATATAGACTATTAATATATTTTATCAATATCTTTTAAAAACGAATTAATATCTATTCTACATGTTGCAATCCTAAAAATATTGTAAAACTAAATTCTACTTATATAAATCTTAATCTAACATATTTAATTATCATGAAATAAAGAAATAACAAATTTTTTAATTTTTAGAGCATAATTGAGAGTTCATAACATGTTTGATTTATAAAGACAAACTTGAGTGGTATAAAGAAGTTAAAACATTCTTTGAAGCTTTGATGACAAAATTTATTTCTACACCTATCTTATATTGTATCAACTTCTTCAAGACAATTTTTATGGAAATAAATGCATTGGACTTTGTCTTGACTATAATATTATCACAAGTAAGAGTAGATGGTAAATTCTACCTAGTAGTATTTCATTTTGAGAAATTTTCAATAATAGAAATCAACTATGAGATCCATGACAAAGACCTTTTTGCAGTTGTAGATTTATTTCAAGAATGGTATCATTATTTAGAATGTGTCTTTAATATAGTCACCATACATATAAATTATAAAAATCTCAAATATTTTATATAAGCATGTATTTTTAATTATTGCTTAGCTTGTTGGAGCATGTCTTTATCAAGATTTTATTTCAAAATCACTTATTAATCAAAAAAATAACAAGGTTTGTTAAATGCCTTTTCTAGACATTCTTATCTTGTACCAAAAGAAAAAAGATGCTGTTTTTTATTAATAAAAGATAATCTTTTTGAAACCAAGAAATTTTATTTTTAAATAATAAAATCAATATTGACTATTGATTCAACCTTTCTTTAGCAAGTTTAATTGAATATATTCTTTGATCTTCTTATTCATGATATTAAGAATAATTCTTCCAAGTCTCATGATACTTCCAAATTTGAATCTAAGAATAATCTATTTTATTTTGATAATCAATTATACATTCTTTAAGCTTGTTATGACTTTCCAATAGCAAGACATTTTTGATAAAATAAGACTTTGGAGTTAATATCTAGAGATTTTTTGTCGTTTCAAGTGTTAAAGATAGTTAAAGACTTTGTATAATCATAAGATTTTTGCTCCAAATCAAAAACTCTTTGTCATTAATCTTATGAACTTCTTCAACCATTACCAATAATCAAACAACTATGATCTTTTATTTCTATAGATTTTATCATAGATTGTTCAATTCTAGGTTTTTATGACTCTATATTTGTGATTGTAGGTTATTTCACCAAGATAGTTTATTTTGTATCATGTACAAAATCTATCATAGGTAAAGAAATAGATAATTTTTTTCTTAACAATCATTATTGTTATCATAAATTATCAAAAGATATTATATTGGATAGAAGTATACAATTTATATTAAGATTTTAGAAAATTATTTTTAAGATATTGAAGGTGGATATAAAATTATCTTTAATTTTCCATCTTTAAACTGATGGACAAAAAAAAATAAAAAAATAAAATTTTTAAGTAATATTAAGATATACCATCAACTACCATCAAAATGATTGGACAAATCTTTTGCCATTGATAGAATTTACTTATAATAATATGCTACATTTTTCTATTCAACAAATATATTTCTTTACAAATTATGATTATCATCCATGACTTGATACTTTTGACTTCTCAAAAGTTGATAATCTTACAGCAAAAGATTTAAAAAATTATTTATCTAAATTACATCCAATAATAAAGACACAATTAAAAAAAAAGATAAATAACAACAAAAAATCAATGCACATGCCTATTACTAAGAATAACCTCAATTCCACATAGGCAAAAAAATATGATTACTTTGTTGTAATAACAAGACTATTTGCTCTTATGATTAGTTAGATTAACATAGACTTAGACCATTTCTTATTTGTGAATAAATTAATCTAATTGCTTATTGATTATACCTACCAAAGTCTATAAATATCTATCTTGTATTCCATGTATCTCTCCTTAAGCTATATAAGACAACAGATATATCAGAAAGAAGAAAAATGCTTTATCTTTCTATAGAAATAGATAATAATCAATAATATAAAATTGAAGAAGTTTTAAACTCAAGATGGTGCCAAAATAGGTTAAAATATGTTGTTTATTGGCACGAATATGATGTTAGTGAATGCACATAGGAACTAGATAAGAATCTTATAAATACAAGAAAAAAGATCAATGCTTTTCAATAAAAATATTAATCAAAATCAAGATAAAGAATAAAAAATCTTTACTATAAAAGAAATAAGGTTTAAAAAAGATCGCTTTATACCTTCTATCTTTGTTTGTAGTTTCAATATATTTGTAGCAATGAAGAAATGAAGAACCACCAACTAGTAGATTTAATTCAAGAGCTATTGTTTGCATAATTACTAGATGATATATTATAATTATCACAACTTTCAAGACAATATAATAGAAATGAAGATCTTCAAAAACGACCTATTTTTCTTTAAATAGATGGTAAAATACGATACGTTTGTTATGACTACTTTAGAAGAGACTTTCAATGTTTGGTGATACTATTAGAGGTAAGAACCACTTCTAAAAATGATTCAAATATTTTATTTGAAAGGAATTATGAAGACCTCAACAATAATTAAATATACAAGGAGTCTTTTTATCCTAGTATAGGACAATATTAATAGCTAAAATGACCTATCAACTACTTTCAAAAGAAACAAAGATTAGAATATGTAGCAAATCTAATTTATTGCATCTTAGAATTCTTCAACATATGATTACTACTTCTTATAAAACTCATCCCTAGAAGAGAGAGTATTGCCAAAAATATATATATATATATATATATATATATATATTTACCTAAATAAGAAGTGTGAAGTAGAAGATAAATGTAAACAGATTTAATAATATCTTGTGATGAAGCTTCTTAAAAATTTCATGGATGTCGATTTGACTTTAGATATATTTTTGGTTGATTGGTAGGTTAAAAACTTAGTTAACAAGTTAGCCATGTATTGCATGTATGGATAGTTTGTGATACAAACTAATTGTGTGGTGCACATATAAAAAACTTGTCTTGTAAGTTGAACATGTGTCTTACAAGTTAGATACATGTTGGAGGTCCTATAGAACATTGCCACATAGCTTCTAATTAGATTGTATATATAGAGCCAAGAATGAAGCCTTTTTTACTCTTGTCAACACTTTTCTTATTCTTAGACTTATTCAAGAGACTCTAGTTTTTTTTTTGTCTTTGATAATAGTCATTCTACTTCAATATTTATACTATCTTTGAGTGATTATCTATTCTTTTGAGTGATACAAGAGTATATTGATTCTTTGATTCTTTGATATTTATGTCCTTGACATCATGATAAGAATTTATTTTATAATATTTTTTTATTTATTATTTATAAAACTTGGATTTAACCTATATATTATCAAATCATCTTCCAATATTATTAGTTCCTTAAGTTAGTAGGCCATAAACCTCATATATGAATTTGTTAGAAACAAACTTGATTCAAATCAAAGTAATTAATTTGACTCATTTAAAAATAAAATCTATTTTACATGTGGAGAAATAATATTAGAGTGTGATACATGTTGTCTTTTAGAATTAGGATTTCTTTTAAATACCTCTTGAATGTTAGAAGTACAAAGTGAAATGAATATAAAAATGTATAATGTATAATGTGAGATTATAAAACAAGAAAGTTCTATAGGTAGAAAAAGTTTAAGGTTGTTCTAAGTTAAAACAAGATGTGGTCTATTAAGGAAAATATGTTATTAAAAAAAAAATTATACATTAACTTAAATGAATAAATGAATAAATAAATAAATAATACCTCCTTATAAACCTTTGACTAGTAGATTATATTACAATGCAAAAATCAATAGGTGGTAGTAATCGCCATTGGTAGTAATATGACAGAGTTGATGTTCTGGACATGATGCACTTTTCATTCAAAGCTACAATAATCTGATGGGGTTGCCGATGGACACTGGTATCAGCTCCCACAATTCAGTTCGGCTGTAAATCTAGATCTCAACTGGCTGAGATGTAGCTTGATGTTACAGACCTGCTGTGTTCTGTTGCAAATTCCAGAACTTAAGTCGCTGTGGAGTTTTTCACTGTTTTCCAGCAGATGCGGGAGAGTTTTCTCAAACTACGTCACTCGCCAGCGCCAACAACGATTGCCACTCCTAACAATGGCAGGGAATCAGCGACTTCAATTGCAACCTCTCCTCAGGGAACCCAATTCTATTCAAGGGATGCTTCACGACTATCTGTAACAAGGTAGTGCACGTGGTCTGATTTTAGCGCTCGCATATCTCGAAATGGAAAGTTTCTGTTATGGTACTCCAACTATCCTTAGTTGTACGTTGTTTTGGAGCTCTGATAATTCTCGGAACAGATCGTTCTTGTGCTACTACTGCAATGTTTTCGGCGTGTAAGGGTTGCCAAACAAGGCTTACACCGTAGTCGTTGAGTTCCACCAGCAGCTCGAAAGACGATGCTACACAGCCTCAACCCACTGTTGCAGGCCTCGTGTAACAATCACAGCGACCTGCGCCAACAGTTGCATATTTGGTTTCCGCATCTTGATGGATTGGTGGTTCCCACCATACCCCTTGGGCTTCTGGTACATATAAATTAGAATCACAATGCACAACGGGCTGCGAAGTAAAGTGAGAATTATAATTTAGAAGCGCGAAAATTTCAACACTCAATTTCTGATACCAGATAGGGTCACAGTGGACGAGCTTTAGATGCACATATAGGGCTCTTAGTTTAAAAAATCTCCAAGCAGGGGTCAATCAGCAAAATACGCAAGTCGACTGGTGCGAAGTGCGCATTGTTTTGTAAAAAATTCGGAATTTAATTGTACAAATCTACCCAACCTCGAAAGTGTTCTAGGTGCTACACTACCTGCCTGCAGTACCAGCGATCACTTGTTCAGGCGGCAACAGGGGACTACTGAGCTCGTACCAGCCCAACGCTGGCCCGACGAATCTGAACACAATCCACCCGCCGATGATAATAAAAATTGAAGCGTAAGCTGCTTTGTTTAGCCAGAACAGAGCTCCTTCTTCGCCTATATACAACTGCCAAGCTTTCTCTGCAAGCGACATGTCATCCCAGGCTTTCGCTGGTGCTGCCGGTTTAGGAGCAGGGGGTGGGGACTGGACTCCTCCCCCCTCCCGTCGGCTTTTCCGGTTAACTCCCAGGCGAGCTTCGAGTTCCTCTAGCCTTCGTGCGTCCGCTTCGCTGCTTCCATCGTTGTCCGCTGCTCGTACTAACAGAGTCCGCCCGCGTTGAGTATGGGAATTTCTCCTGGAAACTAGTCTTGAAGCATTACGACCTAGGGGCTGAACAGCTCTACTACCATTCTGAAATTCAAAGATACGTACACAGCGATATGAGTACAGGAGAGTCCTCTTCTTGCTAAAAGTGTCGTTCTCAGAAGAACACGTAAGGCATTCCACAGATAGGCCGAGAGCGAAGAAGATCGTGGGATAATAACCCTATCAAAACTACACACACTCCTACCTGAGTTGGAAAGGAACCCAAGCTTACCGATGCAACAAACATCTAAGGGAAAGACATCGCTTCACCACCAGAGAATATGTGCATTACTTGTTTGTTTGTATCTATCTGCTCTGATTTTCACGTTCAGGGTCCACGCAAAAAAAAAAACACAAAAAAACCTATAAATCCTACACCTAAACATCTGTTGGGGCACGCTCATGTCTCGTGATTTATTCTTACGCTGTAATAACTACCCCTCGACTCAAACCCGTTTCCTCGCTACAATCCTCAAATCCAGAAGTTCAAACCACATTCATTTAATATATGTCGACAACAGCTTTCTGAAACGAACAATCTCTCAATCACGACATTCTCGAGAAGGATAATTCGATGCCACAGTTGGAGGCAGGAATGCGAATAAAAATATGAAGCCAGAAGCGGAAGAAAACAGTAGTGGGATTTCACCTGAGGCTCGCGCGAAGTGAGAGGTGAATTGAAGCAGAAACGACGAGGCGGCAGGGAGAGATGCAAGGAGCTGCAGCTTAACGCCATAGCCATAACCCCAACCAAAACTCACAAACAGCACCGACCATTAAACTACAAATTAAACTGAAAATTGAGGTTGGCTGTGTGTGACCCGAACCTGAACCTACGAAGCGGTAGACAATGAGCTGAAATGGGGAGGATGGAGAAGCATGAGCATCGTAGATAAAGCAAAGGAAATGCGGTGTTGGCCAAGCAGATAGGGTTCGTCCCACCATTGGATGATGATACGATGTGGCCGATGCTCCCTGACGATGTTTCCTGTTTTCCTCAATAAAAACTCATTTCTTCACAACCTAAAGGTCGCATCTTGCCTGCATTTCGATGGTGAACTAAATCAAACCCTATCGTAGCTATCATGGGTATTATGAATTGGGTGAATTTGCACTGTGTGAAACCGTCCCTTTGCTTCAACCGTAGATGAATATCTAGGGCAAAGGAACCTTAGATTATGCATTTATGGAAAAGGATGGTATATTATGGGTTCTAGGTTCTAAATCCTAGAAGAGCTTAATCTAGGTCGAGTTCTTTTCAGACATAGGCCTTGGTGAATGTAGCACCCATATTGAAAAATCCATAAAGCCATTATTTGTGTTGCCTTTGAAATAAGATATAGCCCAATGATTAAACTTATGTATCTTAAAATTTGTTTACATTGTTTGTTGCCATGTTTAGAAATTTTTATAGGCAAGAAAAGAATTCAGTACGAAAACATTACTAACCAACATACTCAAAATGAGAGATCCAATCTTTTTGACCTTAAAACAACTCTAAATATTTTATCTATAAAATAGTTACTTGAAATAGTTATGTTTGGCTATTCCAACTTTTTTACATTGCTTAGATTTAGAATTGATTAAACACAACCACTTGGAATATCAAGAAGATGGATTTGTAACATTTATTGGATTATAAAACATAGTTTTTATTTTGGAACAAGTATAAAAGTTTTAAAAGGAATTATTAAAGCATACAAAGTTGTAGGTAAAAATTTAAGATATACCCTCTCTTTTAATTGAACTCTCTCTCTTCTAAACTCATATACATTGTACTTACATAAAGTAAGTAGGCAATAAATAAAATTTATATGGTATTATAAAATCGATGCAACTTTAAATTGAGAAAAATCAAGTACAAAATTAAACTCAAAACTTTTAAAAGAATCACTACAGATTCTAATATCTCATTACATGCTTGATTTATGTTATTACAAAATGATCTAATAATTTTAAAGTAAATGAATAATTAAAAATATATATATCTTAAAATTTCTTGGCCTTCTTTTTTACTTTAAATCTTACTTGAAAAACTTAGATGATCAAATGAAGATCTACTAAATATCAAAGAAGAGCATCTTCAAAGCATCCATAGAATTACAAAAGATTTTGACATCTTTTTTAAAAACATACATTTAACAAACATAAAAGCCTTCCATTTTACACCAAAAAAACCTACAAAAATTCTCTTTATTATTTTAAAATATAAGGTAGTAATGACTGAAGGCCTTCAAGCTACCAAAGAAAATTTGGTTTATTTAATTAAATTCTTTAATAATTTCTTAAAATATCATGAATTTTTATTGATGTAACCTATGTAAATTAGGAAAATGCAAATCAAACTATGGAAGAAAGTCTCTTTAAGAATATATCTTACTTATTCCAATTTAAGCTATCAAATGGACCAAGACTCTCCAACTTATTTTTCTATTGCATTAATAAGTTATTTAAAGCAAAAATTATGCCAAAACAATCTATTTGAATATGATTAATTTGATATTCAATAGAAAAATTGACGGCTTAGTTGCTAATTAATGATTCTACATCATCACCTTCTTTGAGAAATGGTTGTACATGGAATTTTTCCAATGCTAAGATCTTTTGGAAATATTACTTTGAGTTGAAGCAAGCATCTTGAAGTAAAGTACTTGCATTCATAGTAAAATAATTGGTGTTGTCATCACTAGACATCTCAACATGTGCACATTCATGTAGCATCCCTAATTCAAGGAGAATGAGCTACAAATGTTATAGCTTATTAAAATCTTTTCAATGTGTCTTGTCAGCTCATCAAGACAAACTTTAGCATTGAGGTTATAGACATGGAAGTTGATTATGAAGATTGTAGCACTAAGCTTGTGGCTCCAAATACAAATACCAAAAAAGAGGGTACAAATGCAAGTGGCCATTTTGATTAGAAGGACAACAAACAAACATCCAAACAAGTCATAGGTGAATCAAAATACTTTGTTAAAAGAGGTGAATTTAATTTGATATTGCATGACTCTTAAAGTACATTAAGTATAGGTTAAATTTAATGATTAAATATATCTACTTTATTTCTTCAATAGTTTGGTTGATTATTTCATTAAAAAATCATATTAATTTATTTTTAAATAAATTAAGTTTGGATTTCATGGAAGAAAATAGATCTTTAATATTGAACTTTGATATGCAATGCAAGTTATAGAGTGAAAAGCAATGAATATGCTAAGCAAGAAGTTTCATTAGAAAAAGTAATAATTTATGTTCCATATTTTGCAAACAAAAAAAGATTTGCATAGATCACAACAAATAACCTCATAGTGTTGAAGCAATAAATGAAGAGGTTTTTGGATGTTATAGATCTTAGCTTAGGCCACATTTCATCACATCAAACAAAAGCATATTGTAGAAGTAAATAAGAGTTGAAGGAAGCTAATTTGACAAAACGTGTTATTTATGCTACAATTTTGATTTTCCTACAAAGAAGTCTATTTTGTAAAGCATCCAACTTAGTTGTATTGTGATTTTTCAACTCATATAATTATGAATCATAGACACCAAAAAAAAAACCACGACATTAGGAGAACTTGGCCAAATGTCAAGGACAAAGACTCGATGAGGAAAAATATACACCAAAAGGCTATCTCGATATAATAAGTCAAAATATAAACAAGTAGGTATATTAAAATGAAACTGGAATGGCTATTGCCACAAGACAAGAAACTAAAGACTCTTGAACCTGGACTAGAAGCAAGAAAGGAGTTGACAAGAGTGAAGAAGCCTTCACTCTTGTCTCTATATATACTATCTAACTAGGGGCTACATGGCGACGTTCTATAGGACCTCCAATATGTGTTGACTTTGTAGGACACATGCCTTGACTTACAAGGCAAGTTTTTCTACGTGTGGGCCACATAGTTAGCTTGATCTTCAAGCTAACAACATGTGTGGCACATGGCCAACTTGTTGACCACGTTTCTAATCCAAAAAGTCAATTAAAGACACCTATGAAGTCAAAGCAGCGTCTAGGAAGTTTCTAGGAAGCTTCTATATTAAATATTATAGAATTAACTTACTTTTATCTACTTTTACTTACTTCTACCTATTTCTATATGTAATTATTAGCTTACATGATTATGGCCGTGACATTACCCCCCCTTCTAGAGACGAGTTCCACGAGGAGCGGTCATCATATGTTGAAGAAATCTATGATGCGACGAATTATATTCGCCACATACTCTGATCTCTGTTCTCTTCGAAGATGATTGATAGGGCCTCTCAACCATCGGTAGTGTCCCATACCAGGGCGGGAAGACCATCCAGTTATTTGATCATTATTGAGGCCTTCATAACTTCCTTCGAATAGAATATTCGGAACACCATCAGGAGTTGTTCCTACCTCTAGCAAAATCACCAAACATCGGGAGTTCCTTCCCAAATCGTGATACCAAACGCATTGTATCTCACCATCTGTTCGAGGAAGAACATGTCGTTCTTGAAGATCTTCATCTCGATTGCGTCGTCTTGAAGGTTGTGACAATCGTAATGTCTCGTCCGGCAGGTCAGCAAACGAAGGTTCTTGAGTTGAATCTGCTGGTTGTTGGCTCTCCATCTAATTAGCGTCACAAATGCAAAGAAGTTACAAACAAGGATAGGAAATTGAATGTTATCTTGCCTCAATCTTGTCTCTTTTATAAGAGAGATTTTCATCTTGGTTTTGATGGATGTCGTTGATGAAAAACTTTGACTTTAGTTGATGCATTTGCTAGATTCCTGGATGGCTCCCATGTGCGTTCACTAATATCATATCCGCGCCAATGAACAAGATATTCCAGCTTATTTCGGCGTCGCCTTGAGTCTAATATCTCTTCCACCTCAAATTCTTCATTATTATCTACTTCTATAGGAGGCGGTGGCATTTGTCTTCTTCCTTGTATATCCACTGTCTTATATGGTTCAAGAAGAGATACGTGGAATACAGGATGGATCTTCATTGACTCTGGTAGATGTAACCGATATGCAACTGGGTTGATCTGTTCAGAAACAGAAAAGGGGCCAAGCCTACGATAGTCCAACTTGTCACAAGGTCGAGTAGTCTTGATATTGCGACGAAGTAGCCATACCTTATCAACGACGTTGATCTGTGGTTGCTCCTTACAATATAGATCTGCGTTTATCTTTTGTCGTTCTTGAGCTTCCTTCAATTGTGTCTTCATTATTGCATGTAACTCTGACAACCGATTTGCCATATCCTCTGCTGCAAGATTATCAACTTTTGAAAAATCAAAAGTATCAAGTCGTGGATGATAGCCATAATTGGCAAAGAAAGGTGTTTGTTGCGTGGAAGAATGTACCGTATTATTATAAGCAAACTCTGCCAATGGCAGAAGGGTTGTCCAATCATCTTGTTGGTAGTTGATAGTACACCTTAAATATTGCTCCAAGACTTGGTTTACGCGCTCTGTTTGTCCATCAGTTTGAGGATGAAAAGCCGAAGATAGTTTTATGTCCACTTTTAAAATCTTGAAAAGGGTCCTCCAAAATCTTGACACAAATTGAGTTCCCCTATCCGATATGATATCTTTAGGTAATCCATGATAGCGATAGATATTATCAATGAAAAGCTTAGCTGTTTCTTCACCTGTGATAGATTTTGTACATGGCACAAAATGTGCCATCTTGGTGAAACGATCTACTATCACAAATATAGAATCATAAGATCTTGAGCTTGAAAGATCTGTGATGAAATCCATAGAAACAGAAGACCATGGTTGTTCTGGTATAGGTAATGGCTGAAGAAGTCCGTAAGGTCGATGACGAGGAATTTTTGATCTTGAACAAATATCACATGATTGTACAAAGTCTTTGACTGACTTCCACATTTGTGGCCACCAAAAATCTCTTGATATGAGTTCCAAAGTCTTATTATATCCAAAGTGCCCTGCTGCTGGAAAGTCATGACGT